TGGTTTCCAGTGTTGATGGGAATGTCCTCGGAGTTCAAGAGACTACCAACATTACCCGATCTCTTGACACAGGATGCAGGCAGAGTGTTCCATCCAGATGTGGACACTCTGCATCTAACGGCATGGAGGATCTCCCCGAGATCAAGGAGGTGTTAGACCGGGCAAAGAAACCTTCCACTGCTCTTCTCTACAGTTACAAGTGGAAAAGTTTTTTGAAGTTCACTGAAGCCAGGGGTCTTCTGCCATCCCCTGTGTCTCCCGCTACGTTACTGGAATACCTACGTTACCTGTTTGATTTCAAGTTGTCTCTTTCCACTATTAAGGTTTACCTGGCTGCAATTATCTCTTTTCAACCTAAGGATTCAGATTCATCATGTCTGTTCTCCCATCCTACAGTTAAAGCCTTTCTTAAAGGACTCACTAATCTGAGACCCCCAGTTCAACTACCGTTTCCACAGTGGTCCCTTCAGTTGGTGTTACATGCCCTTACTCGTCCTCCCTTTGAGCCCATGGCTACGTGTGACCTCAAGATGTTATCTCTCAAGTCGTTGTTCCTTGTGGCTATCACTTCCACCAGACGTGCAAGTGAACTTGCTGCTCTTCATTCTGACCAACCTTTCCTACAGTTTTTCAAAGATAAGGTGCTGTTGCACCCTGATGTCTCCTTTCTACCTAAGGTTGTATCGGACTTTTACCTCAACCAGCCTTTTCTGTTGCCTATAACAATATTTTAAATAGATAGATAGACAGACTGACATATCGGTAGATATTAAGGCAAGGTAGTCTATATATTTACTCAGAGAGACCTGAACATGGATATGTATGTTTGCTTTATTGACTACAGAAATTGTTGGTTAATAATGGTCTTGATTCAAGAGAAATTAGTGTAGTTGGCAACCTGTTCTGACTACAGAAAGCTGCAATGAAAGTTAGGTATCAGATGGCAAACCATATAGGGAGACAAAGAGGAATACAAAGGTATACTCTCCTTACTGCTTTCCGATCTGTACCATGGGAATGTCTTTAGAGAAGCACTTGCTGATTTAGATGAAGATATTATTTTGAATTGAAGATTTATCAATAATTATGCAGATGTTTCAATATTAGCAGTTAACAGTTAAAATGATATTCAATTGTTACTGAATAAAAGAGAGGTTACTTACCTGTAACCATGGTTCTTCAAGCGGTCATCTGTGAATTCACACAATCCCGCCCGGCCTCCCCTCTGTCACTGGCTGTATCTAGCTCATGCTCAGGTACCTGTGGCGGATAAATGGAACTGAGGCTTGGGCGGGCGGAGCATGCGTGGTATAGGCAGCCTTAAACTTGTTACTTTTCTCTTAAAGCTCGAGAATGTTCCGAGAGGACCAACGCTGGCGCTGGGTTAACCCTTTTGTGTGAATTCACAGATGACCACTTGAAGAACCATGGTTACAGGTAAGTAACCTCTCTTTTATTCAGTAACAATTGAATATCATTTTAACTGTTAACTGCTAATATTGAAACATCTGCATAATTATTGATAAATCTTCAATTCAAAATAATATCTTCATCTAAATCAGCAAGTGCTTCTCTAAAGACATTCCCATGGTACAGATCGGAAAGCAGTAATGAGAGTATACCTTTGTATTCCTCTTTGTCTCCCTATATGGTTTGCCATCTGATACCTAACTTTCATTGCAGCTTTCTGTAGTCAGAACAGGTTGCCAACTACACTAATTTCTCTTGAATCAAGATCATTATTAATCAACAATTTCTGTAGTCAATAAAGCAAACATACATATCCATGTTCAGGTCTCTCTGAGTAAATATATAGTTTACCTTGCCTTAATATCTACCGATATGTCAGTCTGTCTATCTATCTATTTAAAATATTGTTATCTCCTTAAAAAGGATCCTATATACAGAATAGTGATTCTGTTGGTCCATATCTTCCCCTGAATCCAAATTTTGTGCCCCTTGCCCTTTCTTCACATTTCTTTTATATTCAATCTTATGTTTTTAACAAATTCTTCAGCAAACACTTCATAAAGACATTGTCTTGGCACATTTCCTTTTTGGGGGGGATTGTGTAATAAAAGCATGATTTCAGTCATTGTGCCTTTTCTGTAGATTTGATTGAAAAGATTAATTGAAAACATGTAAGTTTTCAACTTTTGGCAGCTCTCATACATGTGCAAAAACAGAGTCCTGGAGATTTGCTGGGTATTTTAAAATTTTATTTTAGCTATACAGTGTTGCCCTGCATAGCGACGATAATCTGTGCAGCAAATACGGATTCGCTATACGGATTCGTCGCTATGTGAAATAAAAACCATAGGAATGCATTGAAACCCCTTCAGTGTGTTCCTATGGGCTTAAAACTTACCTTTTAAGCGAAAATCCTCCATACGGCGGCCATTTTAGCTGCCCGGTAAGTGAGGAAAACGTCCCTGTTTTACCCGTTGGCCATTTTGGAACCGCTGATCAGCTGGGGAAAATCATCGCTATGCGAAAATCAGTAAGCGAAACAGCTTACTGATCATCGCAAAGCGATTTTCCCCCATAGGAAACATTGTTATGCGATCGCAAAAGCGATCACAAAAACATCGTCGCTATGGGGATTCATCGTTAAACGGGGCGCCCGTTATGCGAGGCACCACTGTATTTCAAGTTCCTGTATTTCCAGTCCTGTATCAATATCTGATACAACAAATTCTGTAGTTCTTTTATCTTCCACACTTGAATTTTACCCTTGATGCCAAGCACCAGAGAATTATTATTATCCTTCATTAGTGGGCACTATCATTTTATTAATTTGCTTACCTCCTTGGTCTTTTATGTATATTAAAAGACTAATTACCCTTCTCTACATTTTCTTTTTCTGTACTTTATTCAGATTATGAAACCCAGGGATAACAGCAAACTCTCTCTGTCTGTCTGTCTGTCTGTCTGTCTGTCTGTCTGTCTGTCTGTCTGTCTCTCTCTCTCTCTCTCTCTCTCTCTCTCTCTTTCTCTCTCTCTCCCCCAGATCTTCTTGGCCTTCACCACCACCTCTGTTGGCCAGGATTTCTGGGAGTTGAAGTCCACAAACATCTGGAGGCCCTAGGTTCGGGACCACTGCCTTACAGTATTGTTAGTACATTTTTGCAGGGATTTCTCAAACCCACCCTTTTTAAACCCACCCTTGCACTGGTAATTTGAATGTAATGTTGGTGATTACAAATTTGTCACAAAATTGTATAATTTGTTCATCATGTTCCTTTGATATTTCTTGTCATATTTCCCAACAAAATCTTTTAAAACCCTTTCCCTACATTACTATTTACATTTCCCACTAGAAAATTGAGTTACCACTTGTCTGCATGTTTTGTAACTGTTTTAAGTTCTGCGTTGAATTTTTCTCTGCTTTCTCAGTAGCTGGGACATATTTTTGTGTGATGTTGATGTCAGCATGATTTGACTTTAGTTGAGACCCACCTTTTCAACAGTTATCAAATTAGGTTTATCAGTTAGAATCCAGAAATTCCATAATATTTTTATTTCTCTGTTTTCAACAACCTTTTCAGTTTTGCAGTCCCACATGTTTTTGGCTACTGGTATATTATGTTTCCTACAGATGTTCTGATGCAGCATTGCTTCAGCTTTGTAATATTTTTCCAAGTAATGTGTTTGCACAATCTTTTTGCAGCCACAAATAAGATGGTTGACTACAGTGGGGTCTCGACTTACGAACGTAATCCGTATTGGAAGGCAGTTCTCAAGTCGAAAAGTTCTTAAGTCGAATCTGCATTTCCCATAGGAATGCATTGAAAACCATTTAATCCGTATCTGCTCTTTTCGTCCATAGAAACTAATGGGAAGCTGCTATTCCGCCTTCTGCCACTAGAGGGGGATATTTATTTTCTTTTTTCCTTTTAACCTAAGATGATATAGCTTTTAAAAAAAGGAAAAAAAAGAGTTCGTAACTCGAATCTAAGTTCGTAAGTCGAGTCCATATATTCCTATGAGAGCGGTTCGTAAGTCGAAACGTTCGTATGTCGAGCCGTTCGTAAGTCGAGACCCCACTGTATTTCTTCTCCTTCTTTACACAACTGACATTCACTGTCAGTATATGATTTCTTAATCTTGATTTTAATAGTATTTGTACAGAGTGCTTGCTCTTGTTCTGCAGGGTTAAGCCCTTCAGTTTCTTCAGCACTCCTTTTCTCAGTCATTACCACCTCTTCGCAAGTCAGCCTTTCCCTGGATGGGTTTAAGGTATTGGTCATAGAGTGCTTTATTCTGCCATCACTCTCATTGCAATGTTACCTTTTTTTTCTTCCTTTCTTTTTTGGCTAGGCTTCCCTTGTTTCTTTGGTCCTCAGGAATCCATATCTTTATTGGTATTGTTGCTGCCCAGGGTTAGAGGGTGAGAAGCAATTTACTAGTTTCTCAAAGTGCCACAGGGCTCCTGTATCAAGCTTCTCTGTCTGAAGCAGTTAGATATTCCAGGGGCTTTATTAATTAACCACCACATACTCAGTATGGCAGAGGTATATGGTGGCACCAGTCACCAACGTCTGCTCAGCAACTGACTCCTCTATGGAATTTATAATATTAGGTAGGAGATAAATATTCCAAAGCAGGTTTAAAACCAGTTTCAAAGTTTCAGTAGAGACACACTTTGCCTGGATGAATAAAAAGTACTTTGTCAACAACTTCGTAGTTCGCACTAAGTGCTTTTGTGAGAAGTATGTAGGTATTTCATACAGTGCTCAATGCTTTCCTTCAGGGTGGATTTTAAATCAGGATTTAAATTTAAAAAATCAGATATTTTGACAATTTTAATAAAAAATCAATTTTTATTTCATTGTGATTTAAATGAATTTGATTTTAAAAAAATCATTGATTTTTATCTACCCTGTTTTCCTTTGTACATAAAAGAAAAGTTCTGCTACTGGCGTTTTTTGTAAACATACAAAGGGAGAAAATTGACAAGTGTGATGTATGATATGTATTTCTTACTGTGTTTCTAACAGCTTAGAAGAACTATTGGAAAATTCTGCCAAGAGCATTTGGCTCCAAAAGCCCAAGAAATCGATCAACAGAATGAATTCAAAGAAATGAGGGTAAGTGCTTTCAATAGGTTATATATCACCTTGATTATATAATTGCTCTTTTCTTAAGGGATGGCTATGGGGAGGGGAATATTTATCATTTAAACTGCAAGTAACAGTGAGTTTTTAAAAGTTGTGGAATATTTGGAGGTGGAAAAGAAGAAGCTGATCTCCAGCCTCTTGCCTTCCAGTTGCATTGGACTACTGCTCCCATCTTCCCCAGCCAGTGTAGTCAACAGTTGTGGAAGGCTGGCATTAAGTTGACAATATTCCCGAGGACACTTTTCCTTGTGTGTGGAGTCTGAATCTCAGTTGTATTAACCTTGGGCAGTGTTTTTATCTCATGAGAAATTCCAGAGGTTTCTGTCTCAGCTGTATGAAAGGGCATATGGCCTCTTTTCAGCACATGAATGTTATCTTGAAATCATGAGCAGGTTGTAAAGAGTTCACTGTTATAGATGTCAGGCTTCTAGAATGGAGATTTAAGAGCTTCGTTTTAATGATACCTGTAAACTTGATGAGAAAGAAGTATTTTTATGGGCTACATTATTTTTCACTATTGCCTTTTATATGCCTTGCAGTCTTTGGAAACCTCATGCTTACTAGAACTCTGTGAAAGTGCTATTATATCAGAGAGAATTCTTTATAATGTTTGCCCTGGCCCCTTTTAAAACCAATTTAGAGTGGTGATGGGAGTATGTATTGAATTGAATGATACTCTTCATCAGGGAAGCTTGTCACAATAAGAAGCTCTTGATACTATAGAAAATAATAGTTAATTGTACTTACTGTATTTCACAGAGGTATCTAGAACTGAGGAAACTGCTTTATATCAAGTCAGACTGTTGGCTGGTCAAGCCCAGTATTGTCAACACTGGCTGGTGGTGGCTCTCCAGGTTTCTATCAGGAATTTTCCCAGCCCTTCCTGGAGAGGCTGAGCATTGAACCTGCAGCCTTCTGTATACAAAATAGATGCTTTTACCACTGACCTACACCCCATCTGAAATGATGCAGCATTTCCAAATGCTCATACACACATAACAAGGTTTGATAGAAAGCATCCTTGTGAAAAACCTCAAAGTCGCTAATCTTTTTTTAAATTTTACTTCCTTGACTTTCATCTAGCAGCTTGCTGCATTTGTACAGTGGGACTGGGGTGGGGGGTGCTTTGCTCTTTTCACATCTCCTTGCTTTATATATTGGGCACAGATGAGAGTGTCCTGCTCCTCATCTTCTAGCCCACTCATTTGCTGCTTGGTCACCTGCATGAGCCTGGTTAAATACAAGAAGGTTGAGAGTAGTAGGCTGTTGAGATGATTCAAGACTTCAAGAAAAGTGTGAACCTTTGGCCTTTCCAAGTATTGAAGAATACAAGTGCCGTAATAATTGACTGACCTTTCTGAGTGGGGCTGATGAATTCTCAAAACATTTTGGAAGGGCTAATGCAACAAGCCAGGTTGCATACTACAAGGAAGTTGGATTTTCTCCCGCCTTGCAGGATAAGCTGGTCTTCCAATGTGGAGAAGAAATTCCTTCATTGATGGTTACTGAGATCCCCATCCTTAGACAGATCTATCAAAAATATCTCCCTAAAGATGGCCATGGCATTTCAGTTATACAATTCGTATTTTCTGTGTAAGAGATCTTGGATTAAATCCCTGGTACCTCCTTGTAATGGGGCTAGAAAAAAATATTTGCTTAAAATTCTGGGAATTTCTGCCACAACAGACATTGCTGAGTTAGATGGATGAGCAACAGCTTTGTATTGCCCTGTGAAGTTCATTTGGGTACACTTCCTCACTGTCAAACGTCTTCTTCTTTATTTAATGGATTCCTTCTTGTCCAACAGAAGTAGGAAAAAATTAGTAGGAGACTGGAGAAAAAGAAAAAGGCTGAAAAAATCCATGCCAGCCCAGTGGACTGCACTCAGTACAATAGATAGGAATCAGAAGAGGTTTGGGTTTGGGTTTGGGTTTTGTTTTGTTTTTTAATATGTGTATTATTTTAATCTTGATTTCTAGCTTAGTTTTCATTTTAGAATGGACTGGCTCCTAATTTGGAACAGATGGGTTAAGCTTATGGTTTCTTGTCAGCCATTATTAACAAGAATCTGCTAGTGAGCTAAGTTTTTCCTTGTCTCAGAAATGTCCTTGAAGATGAAATGTCAGTGAAAGGGAGATAGGAAATTGGCAAGCAACTTGATAGTTGTGGGAGGCAGGGATTGCTGTGATTCAGTCCCCCACCACCACCAAGATGGTGACTCATACGCAAAGGTTGACTAAACAACAATGTGCAGTGAATCCTAAGGGAAGTCCCTACAGGAAGTAAAGGAAGGTACTTTTTCGCTCCATAAGACGCACCGGACGTTAAGACGCACTTAATTTTTAAATACTGAAAATTAAAATAAAATAAAAAATATATAAACAGAGCAAGTCCCACACTGGGACTGCCAAAAAAAATCACCAAAAAACAAAGCAACATAGAAACATGCCCACCAGTCCAAATCTACCCTCCAAAACCCACCCAGAACATTTTTTAAAAAGTAAAAAGAAGCAACTAATTTTTAAATACCAAAAAATGAAGTAAAAATAAATAAACAGAGCAAGTCCCATGCTGGGACTG